GGTCTCGAGATGAAAAATCGGTACAGAGGCCCAGCGCACACACAGACACACACACACACACACAAAAACACACACACATCTTTTGCCGGTCTCGAGATGAAAAATCGGTACGGAGGCCCAGCGCACACACAGACACACACACAAAACAGCCCTGTAGCTTTTGTGGGTCTCGAGATGAAAAATCGGTAGAGACGCGCAGCGCACACACAGACACACACACAAACAGAGATGAAAAATCGGTACAGACGCGCTGCGCACACACAGACACACACACAAACACACACACATACAGCACGCACACACACACACACAGACAACCTCTCGTCAATATGCGTTTTCTGCATTGCATAGCTGCAAAAAACGCGGCTGTTACACAGCACAAAACGCATAAAAATCGGTACAGACGCGCAGCGCACACACACACGCACAAGTCCCCAAAGTTTCAGCTCCGTAGCTTTTGCCGGTCTCGAGATGAAAAACCGATACAGAGGCCCAGCGCACACACAGACACATCGCAGCTTTTATAGGTCCGGAGATGAAAGTGCGTGACAGACGCACACACAGGCACACAGACACACGAACACACAGACAACCTCTCGTCAATATGCGTTTTTCGCATTGCATTGCTGCAAAAAACGCATAAAAATCACACAGACAACCTCTCGTCAATATGCGTTTTTCGCATTGCACTGCTGCAAAAAACGCATAAAAACGGAGGAAATATATAACAACAAAAAATCGAAACACAGACAACCTCTCGTCAATATGCGTTTTTCGCATTGCATTGCTGCAAAAAACGCATAAAAACCAACTCTTCAATGAAGTTTTTTCCTTTAAACCCTTTACAAAATCACTGGTAATAGATGAAACCATCAAATGAAATGCTGCCCTTCGAAAGAAGCTCATCCTGTCATCTTTTTACATAATCACGACAAGACTGCATTTGCGCGTGCATGAATATGTCTGTCTGGGCGCATAGTTCACATAGTTCCCATCCATATAAGGAATTACGTTTTGTAGTACTAACCGATGAAAATAACTACAGACAATATAAAATTCGAGCTACACCCGAGAAAAAAAAATTGGGTCAAAAAACTTAAACGTTGTAGAAGTCACAAAATCATTAGTTCAGTGCAAATTACATGAAAAACTTGTCCAAATCCTCCTTTTCCAATCATCTTTATTTCTTTGAAATCGGTCTCATACCGGCTTGATATCGGAAAGTCTGATTTTGCTGGTTCATTAACAGTTAACCTACAATGATAAAATGTTTATATTATTCAGTCGCCTACATGCTTAACTGAACGGCAACTGTCTTTTACTGTCAGATTCAAATCGTTGATTCGAAATCGTCAGGGAACTGAAAGGTGCTCACAAACCTTTTTTATTTTGCTTCTCAATCACTGAAAACCCGCCACTTACTACTTTGTCAGCTCGTGAAAATGCTACTGCTCGGGTCACTTTCAAGTCTTGGCCTTTCGCAGAAGGGCAAGAAAGGGAGAGAAGTTTTGGCTAGGCAAATCAATCGACAGACGACTATAAAGCCAAACAAAATGCACTGTGACAAGTGCGGTGCTCATTTTACTGACAATCAACGGCCTCACATACCCTCGCGTGGTGCTCTCCAAACAAAATCTTCAACTACCGTAAGCGTAAGTGATAGGAAGGTGGAAGCAGATAACCCAGAGCGGAAAAGCGCTAAACGCGTTGGCATCTCGGTAACATCGAAGACTCCGCAAAGACATGTAAACTAAACAAACGTCAATTCATACTTTGAACAACAGCTGCCTCATCGTGCCACCTCTTGCAGCCGTAACTGCAACTAGTAACTTTCTTATCCCTCTATTCTGACGCTGTAATTACTACCCAAGTAATTCTAAATTCGCGTTCAAGTGCATCCTTCCAATGCTCTGAGGGCTTCCCCAAGCTTCGTTTAAAATTGTTGCAAATTTACAACTTCCGAGAAAATACCTTTTATCGATGTTTAAATTTGAGGGACCACTGAACATCTGCAAAATTCGTCTTCCGAAAGCGCGACGGAGCGCCTCCTGTTCAACGGAGAGTAATGACGGACGAATGAAATGTCCCCTTACAGCCATTTGCTTTAGTCCTGCAATGCATACCTCATTTAGGATTTCACAACACGCACAAGCAGTCTATTTCCTCATAAAGTTCCGTCACAGGTTGATATGTTTTACATCTGCACCCTTCAAAGGTTGAAACGGAA